CCAGCAGTTAGTTCATGTTCAGCATTTGTATCTAAAAGTATCTGGACTGTACCCTCTTGACCATCTTTCATCAATTCCTCCTCAATCACTCCACTTAACGCCAAGCCACCTAAAGTCATATGCATAGATTTCACCAACCTGTTGATCTCAATTAAATCCTGTGGACCAATTTTTGAAAAACTTATTTCATGTTGAGCTTCACGTTTAGCTGTGTCCAAATTCAGTAAATTATCTTGTGCTTGACGATGAAACATAGCAATTGTGTTACGATTGTATGGGTCGCATAAAAAAAAATGAGTTTCATGTTCCAATAGATGTATGAAGCTTTGTAACGTGGCATGTAAATATGGTATATAATTCGTTGTAGCGTTTTCTGGCCATAATGATATATTGACAATCAATGAACATGCAGGACCAATAAGCATTGGTATCACCAGCGTTTTCTGATTTCCCATAAAAAAAAAGATTAGTAATGAATTCCTTTATTAAAATATAACAAAGGGGAAAGGAAAATCAGACTAACCAATATATTATTGGTATCTTGGGGTTTTATGTATGATTGAGTTAAAGAAAATGTCATTATGATACAAGCATTGATGGAACCATATCTCATAGGGGGCCATTTAATCTTATCATATGAAAGGATGAAGGTACCAATAGCCAAGAACAACAAACTAATTATTGTCGAACCTATATTAAATATTTCATCGCCACGAATTGCATCTGATATTTTGATTCCAACGTAAGACCATAAAGTAGCTATGCATGCACCTATTATTCCCCAGCCTGCACTCTTTTTTTCATAATAACAAGATCAAGAGAAAAAGATCGACAGAAAATGTCATTATCACGATACTAATACTCGGAACGTTAAATTACGAAATAAATTTTTATTTACCTCAACCAAAGAACCAAAAGTTCCTGATGGTTGAAAATAACAAACCATCACAATCGCCAAAAAAGTTCCCGTCCCAATTGTTTTCATGACAGGCACGGTAAGAACTATAAGAAAAGCCAGCCAATAAGCAACAGCAGCTTTTAAAACTTTTTTTGTCATTGGCCAAGTCAGTTTTAAAGCAATATCATGATAAATCGGTATTAACAAATGATTTAAAAAATTTGACCATTTTAAATATTCGATACAATTTTTAGGTTTTGGTATTGATGGTTTTTTTATATTGACGTAATTGTTAGTATTTGGATCTATGCAACCTAATTTTTCAAGTTCTTTAAGAGCCTCTATATTATTATTATTATTATTATTATTATTATTATTTCTATTTCCACGATTGTAATTTAGATTATTATTTGAATTTATGATTTTAAATAATTCGTCAGGTGTTAAAGTTAACTCGTTATCAAAAAAAGCTTCATCGTTATTATTATGGCTATTATTGTTGTTTAGATGATTGAATGCCGAAGCACTTGATTCGCCTTCTTCTTCCTCCAGTGTAGATAAAGTGTGTATAGTTAAAGAAGAACGAGATTTAGATAATCTTGGACATTTATTACTATTACTATTACTATTACTATTACTATTACTATTACTATTACTATTACTATTACTATTACTATTACTATTATTATTATTATTATTATACCTAAACCGTGATTTTTTAATGCTTGTTATTACTGATGTTATCCACTGATCTTTTGCCAAATTTGAATTTACAGCAGAGAATGCTTATTATTACGTATTATTATTGACAATTTCTTTATTAGCAAATCAGGTAAATGGCGCAGCACGTGATTAGATGATTTGCACCATAACTGGTTAAAATTTTTTTTATTTTTTTTTAAAGAAAATGGCATAAATATCGGAAATAAAAATAAATCTACCAATATATATATAAAAAAAATTATGAGTAGAAGTATTAAAGATTCTTCACGTTACAAGTCTTCTTCAACAAGTAGGCACTCATACCACCACCACCATTCTGCTTCTTCATCGTATAGATCAAATCCTTATTATTCAGAATGGGATCAACAACAGCATCGTAACTATCCTTCAAATAATAATAGCAATAATATCAATAGCAACTCTCACTATCCTCCATCGTCTACTTCTTCACGAAGCAATAGTTCTTCTTCCTATAATAATAATCAAAATAATAATAATCATCGTTCTTCTTATCTCCATGATGATTCAAATTATCAGCATTATTATAATCACAATAACAATAACAATAACAACAACAACAACAACAACAATCAAAGTCCACTAAAACATCCTTATCCACATCATCATGATTATATAAAAGATCATTATCATTATTCTTCCCCACCAAACGGTTATGGTTCTTCTTCTTATAATACAGCAAAATATCAACAACATTATAATTCATCATCACCAACGCCATCATCATTAATATTAACATCACCATCGTCATCAATACCATTATATTCTTCTGCATCCACTACCC